CGGCCTGTGCGGTTGACCGAGCCGGTGAGCCGCGGCGCCGGCGAAGGCATGTCTCCTTGACCCTTCCCGTCTCATCAAAAAGTGGCGATTCTGGAAACTCCACAGGAGTCAGCAGATAACATGTTAGTGTCCATGATCCTTTTGGAAGAGAGCTCAGATTTGTGTGAAAACTTACTTTTCCTCTGTTTTTCTTCTTCTCCTTTTCTTTGCATCGTCCTTTGTAGTTCTTACTCAACTGTTGGTTAAATTGAAGTGACACTGTGACCTTTTTGTTTGTCTCAAGTAAATGCTTAGATGATTGAACGGGATGGGCTAGGGCTGGTCCTCTCACACTTTGATCACAAGGAGGGCTCCCAATTATCTAGTGCAGTGGTTCTCAACCTTCCTCATGCCGCGACCCTTTAAAACAGTTCCTCATGTTGTGGTGACCCCCAACCATAAAATTATTTTCGTTGCTACTTCATAACTGTAATGTTGCTACTGTTATGAATCGTAATGTAAATATCTGATATGCAGGATGCATTTAGGCGACCCCTGTGAAAGAGTCGTTCGATCCCCAAAGGGGTCGAGACCCATAGGTTGAGAACCACTGATCTAGTGCCTCCAGCTTGTTCCTAGTTTCTTAAAAATACTTAATTCTGGTCATTTATTTTTTTTTCCTCTGAGAAACAATTAGAAAACCATAGATAAGTAAAAAAAAAAACAAAACAACTGACATAAGATAAACTTCCTCTCTCAACAGTTCTAATATGCTGAATATGCCCTTTCCTCCTAAGTAGCTGGGGTGTGGGGGTGGGGAATGGGGCTAGGAAATAAACGGAGAGGAAACTGACAAGGGTGCGCCCCTTCAGGGAACTGTTTCACTTGACCCCCACACTGGCTTCATTAGATTGTATTACCCCCATTTTACAGATGTGTCAACCGAGGGGAGCTAATAGCCAGTGCACACCTTTCACATGCCAGGAACCATGCTGTGTGCTTTTTTTACATTTTGTTGTATTGAATTTTCATACCTCTCTGAGGTGGGTGTTACACATATTTTGTGCTTAAAAAAAAGCAGCTCAAGCAGATTGCCTGCCTGGCCCAGACCAGTGTTGCTGCCATCCGTGGAGCCGAGGTCCAGTCCTGCGTCTGCCTGACCCCAACGCCCAACTTGCTGTCTCCCTTATCATGCCTTCCCTTTCTCCGCTAA